TCATGGGAGGGCAGCCCCGGTGGGCAGTCATGCTGAAGCCCCGAGGCCTGGGGTTCAAATCCTACCTCTGCCACTTGTCTGCCGTGTGACCTTAGGCAAGTCCTGGTACCTCTCTGGGTCTCCGGTTTCTCATCTCCAGAATAAGAGAGATGTAACAGGTCACGGGTACAGAAGTGCCAAGGCCCTGAGGTTGGAGTGACCGCGGATGTTTGAGAATCATCTAACAGGCTGGTGTGGGCTACCCGGTGCACCCTGCCTGCATGGTAGCCTTGCTCTGCAGAGAGCAGTTAAATAAATACTAGCACCTGCTTCACAGGCTGCTGTGAATTTCAAGTGAGGTAACCCGGGTAAAGTGCTGACGACCTCAGCGGGCATGAGGATGCTCCTCCATCACTGCCCCTCATCCTCTACAACCTCTTCTGCCCGTACTGCCACAGCAGCCTCGCTGTCACCCCACCACCACGATCCGTCCCCCACACAGCAGCCTGAGCAGTCTTTATAAAAGGAAAACCAGATGTCGCTAAAGCCTCTGATGACCTCCCATTATGCACAGAATGGAATCCCCACGCCCCACCTGGCTCTGCCTGGCCCTGCTGTAGCTGCCACAGCCTCCACATCTCTGACGCCACACTGGGCTTTTTTGTCTGTTTGACTTCTTCCTTTTATACTTTATGTATTTATTTAACTGCTCTTTGCAGAGCAAGGCTACCATGCAGGCAGGGTGACCTCCGAGCTCCACTACCCCTCCCCCCAGTCAGTGGACCCCTCGGAAGAGACCCTTCCCTCCACCAGTGAACTTTGACCCCGGCGGCCCCGCCCCCTCCTCGAGGAAATGCCGTCCCGCCGCCAGCACCCGGCTCACTACAAGCCCCTGGCTGGACCCCTTATCCTATCGGCTCGGCGCCGCAGTCGCTGGCGGTCTAGATGCTCGGCCTGGAACTCCGCACCCTCGAGACTCCTTCTGCTCTCTTACGCCGCCGCCACCGCGGTTACTGCTGCCGCCATGTTGAATCCCCAAAGACTATCTGGGGCTTCCCCCCGCCACCGCCCACCAGTCCCCATAGTAACCAAGCTGACCGGCAGTGGGCAGGACCAGAGCGGGGCGGAGCCGGGCTCCTTCGCCAAGCCCGCTCCAGCCTCCTATTGGTGCAGAGCATCCAATCGAAGACATTCGGGCAGAAAATGCCAAGCGCGGATTGGAAATTTTGAAAAAGTGCGGGAAGGCTGGCTCCCGGCCCACTGAGGTCCTTAAAGGGGAAATGACTGTTGGCCCAGAGCAGTGGGTCAAGCCTATAATCCCAGCACTTTGGGAGGCCGAGGCGGGTAGATCATGAGGTCAAGAGATCGAAACCATCCTGGTCATCCTGGTCAACATGGTGAAACCCCGTCTCTACTAAAAATACAAAAAATTAGCTGGGCATGGTGGTGCGTGCCTATAATCCCAGCTACTCAGGAGGCTGAGGCAGGAGAATTGCCTGAACCCAGGAGGCGGAGGTTGCGGTGAGCCGAGATAGTGCCATTGCACTCCAGCCTGGGTAACAAGAGCAAAACTCGATCTCAAAAAAAAAAAAGGTGGGGGGGGGAATGACTGTTTTCGTGTGATACCGATTTCCCAACTTCCCCCTAAAAGGAGTTAGGGGCTGGGAGAAAATAACGGGTTAATAATGGCCAGAAATAGTTCTTAAGCACTATTTGCATTTTTCTCACTGCATACACAACCCTCTGGTTTAATGTCATTAATACCCATTTTACAGATAAACTGAGGTTCAGAGGGTGAAATAGGTGGCTTGGCATCATAAAAAGAAGGTAATGCTGGTCTATCTGAGCCTGGGAACCTAATACTGTTTGATCTTTAATTTTTAAATTAGTTTTTAAAAAGTAGCTAGTCAAAATGTTGGAAACAAACACCAGACATCCTATTTTTAGAATTCTTTCCTTTTATTTTTATTTAGTATTATTATTTTTGAGACAGAGTTTTGCTCTTGTTGCCCAGGCTTGAGGGCAATGTCACCATCTCAGCTTACTGCAACCTCCACCTCCCAGGGTTCAAGAGATTCTCCTGCCTCAGCCTCGAGAATAGCTGGAATTGCAGGCATCCACCACCATGCCGGGCTAATTTTTTTGTATTTTTAGTAGAGACGAGGATTTTGCCATGTAGGCCAGGCTGGTCTTGAACTCCTGACCACAGTTGATCCACCCCCGCTAGGCCTCCCAGAGTGATGGGATTATAGGCAGCAAGAAGGCTGGCATCCAGTGAATAAGATTGTGGAGAAAAAAGCCCGCACGGTGGCTCATGCCTGCAATCCCAGCACTTTGGGAGGCTGAGGCAGGAGGATAGCTTCCGGGGTTCAAGCAACTCCTGGGTGACTGCCACCATGACTGGCTAATTTTTGTTATTTTTAGTAGAAACAGGACTTCCCCATGTTGGCCAGGCCTGCCTTGGCCTCCCAAAGTGTTGGGATTCCAGGCATGAGCTACTGCACCCAGCTGGAACTGATCTTAAAGAAGAAGAAAGACTAGTGTTGCTTTTCTTAGGGAAAAAGAAGACATAGATAAAGGTATATATGTGCAAATATTCATCATTAGAAAGTACTATTTTAATGTTTATTGTAACTATTGCTTTTTATATATAATATTACTGATGTATCGTAGTGAACTTGGGCAGGCACAGTGGCTCACACCTGTAATCCCGGTAAGTTGGGAGGCTGAGGCAGGCAGATCACTTGAGATCAGGAGTTCAAGACTGGCCTGGCCAACATAGTGAAACCCCAGCTCTAATATGAAAATTAGCCAGGCGTGATGGCTCATGCTTGTAATGCCAACTACTCAGGAGACTGAGGTGGGAGGATCAATTGAGCCAGTGTGGGAGGGGGATATGTGAAGGCTGCAGTGAACTAAGATCAACCACTGCACTCTAGCCTGGGTGACAGAGCCAAACCCTGTCTCAAAAAAAAAAAAAAAAAAAAAAAAAAAGTGGCTGGGTATGGTGGCTCACGCCTGTAATCCCAGCACTTTGGAAGGCTGAGGTGGGTGGATCACCTGAGGTTGGGAGTTAGAGACCAGCATAACCAACATGGAGAAATCCTGTCTCCACTGAAAATACAAAAAAATTAGCCAGGCATGATCACACCTGTAATCCCAGTAAATTGGGAGGCTGAGGCAGGCAGATGACTTGAGATCAGGAGTTCAAGACTGGCCTGGCCTCCCAGCTCTACTTAAATATGAAAATTAGCCAGTGGTGATCACACTGTAATCCCAGCACATGCCTGTAATCCCAGCTACTTGGGAGGCTGGAGTAGAGAGTTGCTTGAACCTGGGATGTGGAGGTTGCACAGAGCCGAGATTGCACCATTGCACTCCAGCCTGGACAGCAAGAGCGAAACTCCATCTCAAAAAAAAAAAAAAAAAAGTAATTGAATTCCCTATTATTGGACATTTGGGTTGCTTCCTGCCCTCTACGCCAGACCCTCTCTAAATCTACTTTACCTACATGATCTTTCGTTTTGTTTTAGAAACGGTCTCTCTGTTGCGGAGGCTGGAATACAATGGCAAAGCACACGATAACCTTGTATTCCTGGTTCAAGCGATTCTTCTGCCTCAGTCTCCTGAGTAGCTGGGACTACAGACATGTACCACCACACCCAGCTTGTTTTAAAATGTTGTGTAAAGACTGGGTCTCAATACGTTGACCAGGCTGGTCTCCAACTCCTGGCCTCAAGAGATCCTCCCACCTTCGCCTCCCAAAGTGCTGGGCTATAGGCATGAACTGATGCTCAGCCTAACTACTTGATCTTACCTAATTGTCACCATTTATATTTAAAGTGGGATCTTAGTCGGGTGTTGTGGGGCCGGCTTGTAATCCCAGCACTTTAGAAGGCTGAAGCTGGTGGATCACATGAGGGCTGGAGTTCAAGACCAGCCTGGCCAACATAGTGAAACCCCCTCTCTACAAAAATACAAAAAACTAGCATGGTGACAGGCACCTATAATCCTAGCTACTAGAGAGACTGTGGCAGGAGAATCACTTGAACCTGGGAGGCAGAGATTGCAGTCAGCTGAGATGGCGCCATTGCACTCCAGCCTGGACAACAGAGCAAAACTCTGTCTCAAAAAAAAAAAAAAAAAAAAAAAAAAGGAATCTTTAGCCCCACTTAACAGATAAGGAAATTGAGGCACAGGAATAGAGTGGGAAATATGCTACATTTGTAGCAATGAGTGTGTTGCTTTCTCACCTGAAATAAAATCAAAATATTGCCATTTTTAAAATTTGCTGAAAAGAAGCCTCAAAGTCTGGAGGAAGGAAGGGGCTGGGAGTGGGGTCTCCTACCCAAGGAGGGAACCCATATAGCAGAAGCCCCTAGCAGGGGGCAGTGGCTCACGCCTGTAATCCCAGCACTTTGGGAGGCCAAGGAGGGCAGATCACCTGAGGTCAGGAGTTCGAGACCAGCCTGCCCAACATGGAGAAACCCTGTCTGCACTAAAAATACAAAATTAGCCAAGCATGGTGGCGCATGCCTGTAATCCCAGCTACTTCGGAGGCTGAGGCAGGAGAATCCCTTGAACCCAGGAGGCAGAGGTTGCAGTGAGTCGAGATCACACCATTGCACTCCAGCCTGGGCAACAAGAGCAGGACTCCATCTCAAAAAACAACAACAAAAAAAACCCTCCTGCAAAAATCCTCCAAGAGCATCCTGTCTTTTTGGCTGTGTGTGTGGGATCCAGGAGGAACTGAGGCTCCTGCCCAACTTTTTGCCCACTCCACATGCTCTATCATCTCCCTCCATATCCTCTTTGCTCAATCTTAGGGTGGCCAAATTTAGCCAATAAAAGTGTAAGATGCAGGCTGGACCTGGTGGCTCACACCTGGAATCCCAGCACTGTGGGAGGCAGGAGGATCACCTGATCCCAGGAGTTCTAGACCAGCCTGGGAAAGATAGTAACCCCCCCCCCGCCCTCACCGAACCTCTCGACCTCCCACCTCTCACTCCCCCCACCACCTCTGTCTCTACAAAAAAAAAAAAAAAATTAGAAAATTAGCTGGGCATGGTGGCATTTACCTGTGGTCCCAGCTACTTGGGAGGCTGAGGCAGGAGGATTGCTTGAGCACTGGACATTGAAGCTGCAGTGAGCTATAATTGCACCACTGCATTCCAGCCTGGGCAGCAGAGCAAGACCCTGTCTCAGAAAATAAAAAATAAAAATAGGCCAGATGTGGTGAGTCACACCTGTAATCCAAGCACTTTGGAAGGCCAAGGCGGGTGGATTACCTGAGATCAGGAGTTTGAGACCAGCCCGACCAACATGGTGAAGCTCCGTCTCTACTAAAAATTAAAATTAAAAAAAAATTAGCTGGGTGTGGTGGCACACACCTGTAGTGATAGCTACTTGGGAGGCTGAGGCAGGAGAATCGCTTGAACCCAGGAGGTGGAGGTTGCAGTGAGCCGAGATCATACCACTGCACTCCAGCCTGGCAACAGCGAGATTCCATCTCAAAAAAAAAAGGCCTTGCTCAGCTTCGCCTCTCAGCAGCTGCAGGGTCTCTGGCCCTGCAACCCGCAACTTCCTGTGCAGGTCACACAGGTCAGGTGTTGCCTGCCATTAGTTCTGCCTGCCAGTCTCCTGCACACCCAGCCATGGGGAGCTCCCAAGGGCTGAGCCTTTATCAGTCACCTAAGTCACTGTCATTCCTACTGATCGTTGTGCATTCTTTGGTACGAGGCCCTGTGCTAAGCATTTTACCTTTTTTTCTCACTCCTTCCTTCTTCTATACAAACCATGTTTACTGAGCACCTACTCTATACCAGTGATCAGGGTAACAGCTGGCAAACAGAACTGGTAAACAGCAACAACAAGAAAAACCCTGTGGTCCAGGGAACTCACATCCTGTTGGGGAAGACAAGGAACAAATAATTAAGCGTGTATCTATATAGCTGGTCACAAGATCTAAATGCTTTTTTTTTTTTTTTTGAGGTAGAGTCTCACTCTGTCGCACAGGCTGGAGGGCAGTGGTGCGATATCAGCTCACTGCAACCTCCCGGGTTCAAGCAATTCTCCTGCCTCAGCCTCCTGAGTAGCTGGGATTATAGGCATGTGCCACCACACCCAGCTAATTTTTGTGTTTTTACTAGAGACAGGGTTTCACCATGTTGGCCAGGCTGGTCTTGAACTCCTGAACTCAGATGACCTGCCTTCCTCGGCCTCCCAAAGTCCTTCCTGTCTCCATTGTTAAGCACAATTATTGGCATAAAAGAAGTTTTCAATTATCCATTTTTAGACTGCATTCTAGCCTGGGCAATAAAGCAAGACTCCCGTTCTCTCTCCCTCTTTCTCTTCCTCTTTCTTTCTCTCTTTCATTCTTTTTTTTCTTCCTTTCTTTCTCTCTTTCTTTTTCTTTTTTTCTCTTTTTTCCAAAAAAAAAAAAAAATTTCTTAAAAAAAAAAGTTAAAATTAGATAAGGCTATTTTTATTCGTTAATATGATTAGGCACAACAGGTTATCACTACACATATTAGAATCGGTCAGATAAAAAAGTGCTGACACTAAATGCTAGCAAAGGATGCAGAGAAACTGGATAACTCATACATTGTTGATGGGAATATAAGAGGATATAGTCATTCTACAAAATAAATAGTTCAGCAGTTTGTCTAAACACCAAAAATGTGGCCAGGCTTGGTGGCTCACACCTGTAATCCTAGCACTTTGGAGGCCAAGGTGGATGGATCACCTGAGGTCAGGAGTTCAAGACCAGCCTGACCAACATGGTGAAACCCCATCTTTAAAGAAAAACAAAAATGCGCTTACCAGATGATCCAAACATTTGGACATTTATTCCCCCAAAATGAAAACTTTATATTCACATAAAAACATGTATATACTTGAATGTTTATAGCAGCTTTATTTGTAATAGCCAAAAAACTGGAAACCACCCTTCTGGTATGTCCTTCAACAAGTAAATGGTTAAACAAATTGTGTGGCTCAGCCATTCTATGGACTAGTACTCAATAGCAAAAAGAAATGAACTACTAATGCATGTAACAATTTGGATGACTCTCAAAGGAATTATGGTAAAAGAAAAAGCCAAAGTTACATTCTGTATGATTCCACTTATATAACATTCTCAAAATGGCAAAATTACAGAGATGCAGAACAGATTAGTGGTTGCTGGAAGGGTGCATGAAGCTATAAAGTGGTAACATAGGGAGCCCTGAGGTGATGGAGTAGTTCTGTATAAAGAACTATAGACTGTTAAAGTGGCTATACCAATCTACACATGATAAAATTGCGTATAATTATACATACACACAAATACATGTGGAAATGGTAAAATCTAAAAAAGGCTTATGGATTGTAACAATGACAATTTCCTGGTTCTTGAGATTAAGCTGTAGTTATGTGAAATATTACCATTAGATTAAACTTGGTGAAGGGAAAAAAAAGAAGCAAAATTCTGATACTTAAATGTATTTCTCTGGGCCATGTGACTCCACTGTGTTAGATCAACGGTGTAGCTGGTGGCCAAATCTGTCCCATAGACAGGTGATTTTTGTTCTGCACCAATGTTACCAAGTTTTTAAATGTAAATTCCATTAGGTAAAGAGTGCACTTTTTAGTTAGGAAAGTCCTCACTGCCTCTCCAGACCCCATCAGCATTTATGGGCACTTTCTTGCAGGCCCCCCACAGCATTTCCATTTTCCACCTCTGTCTTACATGACACTGACGTCTCATGGCTCCTCCTGTGATGTGATGAAATCTTCTGAGTCAAGGACTGAGGAGGGGAAGCCACGTTCCTTCCATTGAGTCCAGCTACTGCCCTGCCTTGTTTCCAGACATGAGCACAGGAGATGCACATGAGGAGCAGAAGCTGAGCCCTCTCATGGCCCAGGAGATGTGAGGCCAAACAAGATCTCTTTCTATCTCAAACCATTCAGTTTTGCAGAGGTGTGGAAGTTGCTGATATTTAGGGTGATTGACAGGGTAGAGGAATGGGTCCACTTCTTTGCTGTTGTAACGTGATGCAGTGTTTTTGTCCAGGGACCTGGAATTATTCATTTTTTTTTTTTAGGGAACACATTCTTGGCTTCAGTAAATCCACTTATATCTTACAAAAATAGTCACATAAGCATAGATATTACATATTTCACAGATTCACAGATTTTTAAATAATTCTAAATGTTTACCAACAGTGGAATATTTAATTATGGTTCCATGGGTATAAACATGGAAATGTGTCCAGCACATACCACTGAAAGCAAACAGGAAATTCCAGAACAACATGCATAGTATAGTCTTATTGAAAGCCACAGTAAAATAAAATAATTGTTTCTGTGTATTTTGAAAAATAGACATAGGCTTATGCATAGAGAAAGCCTACAGAAATATGTATCAGACTATTAACAGTTATCTTTGGCAATAAGAAGAAATGGGGAATATTTCAGAGATAATAACTTTTAATTTATGTTCTTTTTGTGATTCCATTTTTTAATTTGAACAAAATTTTCAAAATAGAGAATAAAGGCACAATATTCAAACATCTCTCTCTCAAATACAGCAAGGAGTCCAGTGAAAGCTTGTTACCTTCCTCCGCCCCCAGCCCACCCACGACACCTATGATCCATTTTCTTGGATCATTTAAAAATTTTTTATGCTTCTAAGAAAAAATACAGGAAGAGATTCTCATTCTCTCCTTTTCCACAAAAGTTAGCACATTATATCCTGCTTGGAACTTCATTTTTCTCCATTCAACAACATGCTTCATACTTTTTTATTATTTGAAAAACGTCTACGATAAGCTATATTCATTTGAAATTATAATAAATGAGACTTGTTGGACCCTAGGTGGGAGTTGCAACTGTAAGAGGTTTCTCACCTTGAGACAAAGATGGAGGGGCCATATCCAGCAGTGGGGAAGCTAAGCACTATTTCAACTATTTAGACAAATATAGCCATTCAAGTCAAGAAGAATGTAACTGTAGATAATGAATTTGCCCCTCTGATTTTGCTCTACTTAGAAACATCATTCCCCACCTCTAGGCAGATGGCCCTGCCTCTTCATCCCGAAACATCTCTGTCAAAGCTCTCCCATGCTCTCTCTTCACATCTGCCCTTAAGCACTGCAGGCACCCAGAGCACAGGGACAAGGCAGGGGAGGCTGTGGCAGAGGCAGTGCTGGGAGGGGGCAGCCATTCCGTGGTTTCCAGCCATGGGGACTTGGGCAGGTCACACACCTCCCCTGAGCCTCCGTTTCTTCACTCAGAAAATGAGGAACACAATTCTACTTTCTTCACAGGATTGTTGTGAAGATTAAATGAGATGTGTAAACATTTGCTTATAGTAATTTCACACCACTTTGTTGTGGAATCAAAGACAGAATTCTTACAGAAGTCTTGGTTAGTTAAGAAAACATCCAGGCTGGGCACAGTGGCTCATGTCTATAATCCCAGCACTTTGGGAGGCTGAGACAGGCAGAGCACGAGGTCAGGAGTTTGAGACCAGCCTGGCCAATATGGTGAAACCCCATCTCTACTAAAAATACAAAAACTATCTGGACATGGTGGCACACGCCTATAGTCACAGCTACTCGGGAGGCTGAGGCAGGAGAAACACTTGAACCTGGGAGGCAGAGGTTGTAGCGAGCCAAGATTGTGCCACTGCACTACAGCCTGGGCTACAGAGTGAGACTCTGTCTCAAAAAATAAAAAAGAAAACATTCATTCAAGGATTTGATTCACAGGAAACCCTCAATTTCTTTCTCTCTCTCTCTTTTTTTTTTTTTTTGAGATGGGGTCTCACTTCATTGCCCAGGCTGGAGTGCAGTGGCATGATCTTGGCTCACAGCAACTTCTGCCTCCTAGACTCAAGAGATTCTCCTGTCTCAACCTCTGAGTAGCTGGGATTACAGCCATGTACTACCACATCTAGTTGATTTTTGCATATTTTGTAGAGATGGGGTTTTGTCATGGTGCCCAGGCTGGTCTTAAACTCCTGGGCTCAAATGATCCCCCTGCCTCAGCCACCCACAGTGCTGGGATTACAGCCCGGCCCTGACTGACTTTCCTATTTCCCATAAGCCAGGTTACCAAATTGGTGAAATTAACCATGATGTCATTGTGATGGGGAAGCAGATATATATCAAAAGCAAAGATACAAGAGGTTACATTATTAAATTATGTCATCCTAGAACAAACCTGGCCGCAGGAGGCCTTTGCCAATATTCTGAAAAGCGTTGTGACCATCTCCTTTAAGGCTGTCAAAGGTTTCTGACTGGACTCCAGGCTGCTTCAAGCTCTTTACTTGTCTTTATCAATCTTTTAGGAGGGACCCAGACACAGTGTGCAGAGGCCTGAATCCTCCAGACCATTCTCTCTCCACCAGGAGTCCTGCCCTGGGGAACTTTCCAGCTCCCCTTGGCCTTATGATCCAGAAAATCAGGCCAGAGCCTAAAGATAACAGACATTTCAGAATCAAGCCTGTTCTGAGACTGTGGGGGAAAGTGAAGGACACAGCAGGCTTTCTATATTGGAGACTTCCTATCATACTCTCCCTGACAAGGGAGAAAGGGCAGATGCTGTTTGATTTTGCAGTCTACAATTTGGCTTCTCATTCTCGCTGCTGTCTACACCTCATTATTGACTTCCCTCCCCCGAAAAAAATTCCCCCTAACATGCTCAGTACCCAGCTTCTGGGTATTTCCGCCTGCCTTTGCCTTGGTTCTACCTTTTCAGATTGCGGGATCCCCAGGTGTTCCTTGGAACAGCTCAGATTCTCCATTAGATCTGAGATCTCACCTAATCCTGGGGATTTCCTTAAAGGGAAGCTGGGGAGGGAGAGAGAGAGATATAGAGAGAGACAGAGAAAGAGAGTTACCGCCTTTGCTCTACAAAGTGAAGAGGATCAGGATCTGAACTCTGCCCCTCAGCTCTCAGGAACCCCATTCCCCCTGACAGGGGTGGCAAGTTCATCCTAATATTTGTGAAGAAATTTGAAAACAATCATTCAGGAATTTTAGGTCGAGAGCTGAAAAACTCCAAGCCTCTGTCACCTGAGGCAAGGACAATACTATGGGCCCTTGCAGGATACACCCATGTTCCACCACCTGCCTAAAGAAGCCAGTGGTTCTTGTCAGCTTCTCAAAAGTGATGTGCAGATCATCTTCTGCTTGAGCAGAGGAGCAGTCCAAAGAGCTCATTGACTCAAGGGGCATCATGGCAACTGAACTGCACCTGGAGGAGAAGAATCCAGGGCGTGATCCACAATCAGGCCTGAAGCAGTGCGGCCCACACGTGACCCGTCCAGGGTGAGTCATGACCCAAGTGTTGGGGTCCGGCCCATGAGCGGTCCCTCTTGCCATTTCCAGTTTCCTCCCAAAGAGAGGCCAGTTGTGGTGGTTTCATTTCCCATAATCTCCTTAGGAGCACAGGCTAGGGTTTGTACCTTTTTTGGATCAGGTTCCCTGGTGCAGTTGCTGTAACTAAAACTATTAGCAACAACACAGCACCACAGAAGCGAGTTAGTTGCTAATGAAGCTTCTGATGATGCTGTCTTCTAGAGATCACTCCAGTAACTGGAGAGCCTTGGAGTAGAGCTGTTGATAAAACCTATTCCTGCTTTTGTCAGTCATGAGGAGCATTTCCTTTCTAGATAGAGGAACCCAAACCCACATGCCAGCCCACATTTACCCAAAAGCAGTCACTGGAATACTCACTCCTCCTGCATTTGGGTGGAGCCCGAATCACTTTTAGTCCAGCACAAGCGGGTCACTTCAAGCGTTCCCACCTCCATCAGCATCCTTCAGTCCTCCCTGACATCTCTCATTTATGCCTCTTATTGATTCAGAGGTCCTATCCCAAAGGGCTAAAAGAAACGTTAATTAACTTAACCTTTCTACAAAGTAATGAACAATCCATGGATTACATTGAATTCATCCCTACTAAAACTGTCTTCAGAAATTCAGATGTAGTAATCTTTTTCTGAATGTTTTCAAGGTCCCAGGTGACCTTGATATTCCGTAGACAATGTCTTACACAGCAAGGTGCTTCTAGATATGGGAGCCAGCTGGCCTTCCCTGGAATCCCAACTCTAGGTCCCGTTTAGAACATGAGGCCCAATTTTGAGAAGCTCTTTGTATGCAGCATTCACTCAAAGTTCACAGGTTTACGAAAACACAGATTAACATTCAGAGGAAAGGGAAGTGGCAGAGGTGAAGATGCCTGGTCAGTCTGGCCACAGTGTCCTGGGGGAAATGTCCTATATGAACAGAGGGAACAAATACAAGTGGTTTGGTGGGGAGAGGAGCAACACAGATGAAAGGGACACTGTCCAGACAACCTCCCAACTCAGGAGAAAGGACAGAATTCAAAAGAGAAAAGAAGACACAGAAGCTGAGGGTTGCCAGAAAGTCAGAAATAACTTAAGACAGTGAAAATCAGTCACCTTTAGATGTGACTATGATTTACTGATAGGAGAATCAATGTCACTCATATTTACTAAATACTTTGATATTATTATCAGTGTAACAGTACAAGACAGCTTTCAGCTCCTGACTCTACCAGGTTGCCCTAAATAGAGGCCCTGGGTGGTGGTAGCTCATTCTGAAACCAGGAACCAGTTCAGGCAAATTTTATCAGATTCATGCTTTGCTGAAATATTGGCATGTATCCCAGCCAATGAGGAGTAACTCAAGGATGGTCCTGCTTCCCACATAAGGGAGTTCTGGTCCTGAGGAAATGGGACTATATTTGAAGGTAACAAAAGGGATTAGATGGGACATGATGGTGTGATGAGTATCCCAGTGACTGTTCAGGTAAACTTGGGTTGGACACATCGGTTTCTATTCCTCTATCTAGAGAAGGAAACATTCTTCATGACTGACAAAAGCAGGGTCAGCTACTGATCGTCGGCACTGCTCCAAGGCTACCTTTCAGTTACTCACATTTGAAGTCCAGTGTTCACTCATGTCAGCTCCAAATCCAGTTTCCGGGAAAATACAATAAATGGTCAGTCCACTAGAAGTGAAGAAAGTGGTTTTTGATGTGTTTGTTGTGTTTCTGAGAATATTTACAAGAAGAGAAAGAACAGAAGCTTCCCAGATGTGCTGCAGTCTGGCAAGATTTCATTTTAAGCAGAGATTTTACCCACCATGACCTATTTTAGTTTATCTCACATACGTGGGGTTGAGCAACCCAGGAAAAACAGGAAAAAGAGCAATGGCGATTGATGCTCATTTGACTAAAAAATCCCAAGGGCCCAGGAGTTCTTTAACTCTGCATCAAACCGCAGAAGAGAGCACTGCAGAGGCAGCATATTGACATGGCTCCAGGTCATGTTTATGGCACTGTGTCCCTAATCTGTCCATCTCTGCTTTGTCCTAAAACCTCAGGTGACCAGCCCTTCTTAGGCTTCAAGGACTTGAAACATGGTCTGTTACTTTCCTGTGTTTTCTGGCAATTTTATCTATATCTTCACTGATCCATCTTAAGATAAGACCCTAACAAGGGTGTTTCAATGATTTAAGCACATGCTTAGGTTCCAAAACATTTTGAAGAGAAATAACAGTAGTATTACACTGGAGCCAGCATGCTGAATACTACTTAACTTACCCCTTTATTCCTCACGACAACCACAGAGCCAGGCATTTTTAATTCTTCTTTTACAACTATAGAAATGGAGGGTCTCCAAGTTTAAGTGTCTTTCCCAATGTTACATGGGAGTTAAGAAACAGATTGTGATTTGAATCTGAAACTATTTAATTCCTAAATCAGCAGCTTTCATTACACTTTGTTTACTTAGTTATTATTTGTGTCTTCCAGTCAGCTATTGTACTCACTACTTACCTAATAAATAGTAGGTCCTAAATAAATATTTGTAGAATAAATGAATACTATCTCTCTTTAAGACCTAAAGATTGGAGGTGGGCCAGGTGCGGTGGCTCACACCTGTAATCCCAGCACTTTGGGAGGCTGAGGCAGGAGGTTCACCTGAGGCCAGGAGTTCAAGACTAGCATGGCCAACATGGTGAAACTGCGTCTTTACTGAAAATACAACATTAGCTGGACATGGTGGTGCATGCCTGTAATCCCAGCTATTCGGGAGGCTGAGGCAGGAGAATCACTTGAACCCAAAAGGCAGAGGTTGAAGTGAACCAAGATCATGTTATTGCACTCCAGTCTGGGCAAAAAGAGCAAAACTCCATTCAAAAAAAATAAAAACTGCTGGGCATGGTGGCAGGCACCTGTAATCCCAGCTACTCAGGAGGCTGAGGCAGGAGAATCACTTGAAACCGGGAGGCAGAAGTTGCAGTGAGCCAAGATTGCACCGCTGCACTCTAGCCTGGGTGACAGTGTTAGACTCCATCTCAGAAAAAAATAAAATAAAAAGACGAGGCATAATGGTGGAATGGCAGTTCAGTGTTTGGTTTCATAGTTAACTGAAATATCAGGGTTGGTGTCTTTGTGCCCATGAGAGGTCTAGACAATGCTGCAGCTCCCTCGTACAAGAATGTGAATTTCTTTGTGCCTTGCAGAAATATTTCATGTTGAGGCTTCTTTAGGATTTCACTCTTTCTTGTTGTTTGTTAATAGCTCACATGATAGATCAACCGACTAAAGTTATTACGGTGCTGGAAAATTTGAGTTAGAAATAAATCATGAGAAAAATCTTTTTCAGAAATGGGGAAAGTAAAATTTAGCTTCAAATAATGGTTTCTTAATTTTTTTTACACTGACAATAGTCAAATTCTTTCTCCTGTAACGAGGTAATGATGTAATCAAAATGGTTTGTCTTGCCCTTGACAACTCCTCATCACCCACCATCTCCCTGTTTGTCTACTCTACCCTCTTTTTCCCAGAGCAATAGGATAAAAACATGCCCACGAAGCCACCTCTCACTGTCTCCTACTATGAAGCATTTCCCTGAAACCAGAGTCAAACCAAGAGGGAAGCACAGAGACCCAACTCCAGGGCTCACAGGATGGTGTCACCACAGTTTGTGTCCAGGCCCTCTCAAAGGAATACTTACCAAAACAACCTGGCTCCATATTTCTTGTAGATGATTTAAAGTACCTACATATCCTAAGACTAAGATGCACCAACACCCAGAACAGTTTATCTGAAATGTGAAAACTGTTCTCAGATCTATGAGAAAAGCAGTAGCCTCCTCAGTATTGAATCAATCTCACCAGGTTTTTCCATGAAGAAGTCAGGCTCTTACTTGCCCAAAAGGCTGTTAGAAGTCAAGGAAACTTTTGGTGGCCTTGCAAAGGTCTCATTTCATCACTTCATCTTGCAAAAGGGACATTTCACTAGTTGCACAGATTTCAAACAGGGACACGGGAAACATGACATCACAAAAGATGCAGAATAAGTTCTCAGAAACTTGCACCAAATAAATGGAAATTTATGAATTCCCTGGAAAAAAAAAACCTCAAAATAGTAATTTTTTTTTTTTGATGGAGTTTCACTCTTGTTGCCTAGGCTGGCATGCTATGGAGCAATCTAGGCTCACTGCAAGCTCTACCCCCGCAGGTTGAAGCGATTCTCCTGCCTCAGCCTCCCAAGTAGCTGGGATTACAAACATACACCACCACGCCTGGCTAATTTTTGGTATTTTTAGTAGAAATGGGGTCTCTCCATGTTGGTCAGGCTAGTCTCAAACTCCTGACCTCAGGTGATCCACCCACCTTGGCCTCCCAATGTGCTGGGATTACAGGTGTGAGCCACCGCTCCCAGCCTCAACATAATGATCTTGAGACCACTTAGCAAGATGCAAGAAAATATACACAGGGAAATCAATGAAGTAAGAAACACGATCTAAGACCTGATTGAGAAATTTAAAAGAGAGATAGCTATCATAAAGAGAACCAAATAGAAATCTTGGAACTGAAGAATTCGGTGAATGCAAGCAGAAAAATAAATTTCTGAAGTTGAACACAAGTCTTTTGAAATAATGAAGTCTAAGGAAAAAAAGAGAAAAAAGAGTTTTAAAAAGTAAGAAAGACTATGGGGCCTACGCAACAGCATTAAGAGAACAAGGTTTGGTGTTATATGAGTTAGTTACAAAGGAAGAAGAGATGGGAAAAGACACAGAAACTTATTTAACTAAATAATAGCCGAAAAATGTCTAATTCTTGGAAAAGATGTGAAGATACAGATCCGTGAAGTTTAAAGTTTCCCATACAAATTCAACCCAAACAGTTTCTTTCTGAGGCATATTATAATGGATTCATCAAAAGACAAAGAGAGAATTCTAAAAGAAGCAAAAGTGTCAAGTCCCCTATAAGGGAATCTCCATTAGATTCTGAACAGATTTCTTGGCAGAAACCTTGCAGGCTGGGTGATATTGGAAGAATGTATTCAAGTTGCTGAAGAAAAGAAAGTTCTGCCAATCAAGATTATACACAGCAAAACTATTCATCAGAAATAAAGAATTATTATTTCCCAAGCAAGGATAGGCTGAGGGAATTCATCACTCCTGTATCAGCCTTCTAAGAAAAGTGTAAAGTCGTTCTTTAATCAGGACCAAAAGGACAGTAACTACTACCATGAACACACAGGAAACTTCAAACCTTACTGACGAGGTAAATTCATAATTAAATCGAGAATACTTCATTACTACAATGGGAAAACACTATTAAAGGTAAAAATCAAAATAATCAACACTAACTTTATTTAAAATTCATTTTTAAGGAAGACGCAATATAAAAAGTTCCAAATTAAGGCAATAAAAGTATAAATTATGTATGTGTGTGGGGGGGGGAAATGTCTAACGTATGTGTATGTGACCAAATTAACATAGGTATTTCGACAGGAATTGCATTGAATCTGTAGATTGCTTTGGGTAGTATGATCATTTTAACAATATTGGTTTTTGGTTCCATGATCATAGCATGTCTTTTCATTTGTTTGTGTCCTCTTCGATGTCTTTCATCAGTTTTTTTATAGCTTTCATTGTAGAGATCTTTCACTTCTTTGGTTAATTTCTGGCTATTTAATTTTATTTGTGGTTATTTTAAATGGTTTTATAAAGCTCTATTTCTTGACCTGTGTGGAATTCAAGAGTGTTTGTCTCATTGTACTTCACTAAGCTTTACCTGTTCATGTGCTTTTTTTCCCATCTCTGCTTTGTTTTATCATAAAAAAGTTTGGAAGACACCATATATTCTCACAATGATAACACATGGACACAGGGAGGGGAACATCATACACCGGGGCCTGAAGGGTGGGGGGCTAAGGGAGGAATAGCAGGGGGTTAGGGGTACTGGGGAGGGATAGCATTAAGAGAAATATCTAATGTGGATGACAGGGCAATGAATGCAGCAAACCACCAGCATGGCACATGTATACCTATGTAACGAACCTGCAAGATCTGCACATGTACCCCGGAACTCAAAGTACAATAAATAAATTTTTTTTTAAAGTTTGGAATTATTTAAAAAAGCTACCAGGAGGTGACTGGGGACTCTACTGAAGGCAACATGGAGTGGAAGACAGATGGCGGAGGGTGCAGGAGAGGGGAAGAAAAAAGGAGAAAGGGGGGACAGGAAGAAGAGACTTGTTCAGGTCACCCTGGCTGAAGATAGAGCAGAGCAGGACAGTGGCAGCAAGGGAGCACTGGTGGTCAAGGGTGGTTCTGACGGAGGGAATGATGGAACCACTTAGGGAAGGTGGGGAAGAAGCGTGGCTGCTGGACCATCTAGGAAGGTAGCAACCCCTCCCCTGGCTGAAACTCAGCCTGAAACACGGCAAGTAAGGATGAGCTGTGAGTGCACTGCACATACTAGACGTCATAAGCTCGGTAGAAGTCAAAGAATGGGAACGATTTCAATAGCTTGTAAACACTGGTAGTTCTTGCCAGAGCAATCAGGCAAATGAGATAAAGTTATCCAAACTGGAAAGAGGAAATTGAATTCTCCCTGTGTGCTGCTGATATGACCTTCATATGATATAATCTATCTTGAAAACCTTGATGTTTCCACCAAAAACTCTTACAATTGATAAATGAATCCAGTTAAGTTTCAGGTTACAAAATTAGTGTACAGAAATAAGTGCCACTTCTAAAAACAAATGACAATCTAGCCAAGGACCAAATCAAAAAGGCAATCCCATTTACAATAACTAAAAACATAAAATACCTAGAAATATATTTAACCATGGAGGTGAAAAATCTCCACAGGAAAAACTATAAAATACTGATGAAATATATCCTAGATGACGCAAACAAATGGAAAAACATTCTGTGCTCACAGATGGGAAGAACTAATATCATTAAATGACCAGATTGCCCAAAGCAATCTGCAGGTTCAATACAATCTCTGTCAAAATACCAACATCATTTTTCACAGAATTAGAAAACAAAATTCTAAATTTCATATGAAAGCATAAAATAATCAGAATAGGCAAAGCAACCCTAAGCAAAAAGAACAAAGCCAGACGTATCACATTGCCTGACATAAAACTATACTACAAGGCTATAGTAACCAAAACAACATGGCACTCGTATAAAAACAGACACATAAATCAGTGAACAGAATAGAGAACCCAGAAGTAAAGCCACATATCTACAGCCAACTGATCTTTGACAAAGTCAATAACAATATATGCTGGAAAAAGAACACCCTTTTTAATAAATGGTGCTGGAAAAATTGAATATCCATATGCAGAAGAATGAAACTGGACCCCTATCTCTCACCATATACAAAAATCACAAGATGGATTAAAGATTTAAATGTAAGATATGAAACTACAAAAATACTTAAAGAAAACCTAGAGAAAACTCTTCTAGACATTGATATAGACAAAGAATTCATGACTAGCACTTTACAAGCACAGACAACAAAAACAAAAATAGACAAATTAGATCTAATTAAACTAAAAAGCTTCTGCACAGAGAAAGAAATATTGACTAGAGTGAACAGACGATCTGTAAAATGAGAGAAAATATTTGCAAACTGTGTATTCAACAGATGACAAATAACCAGAATTTACAATAAATGCAACAAAACATTCCAAATCATGCCATTAAAAAGTGGACTAAGGACATGAATAAAAATCTTTGTTTCTTTTTTTCTTTTCTTTTCTTTTTTTTTTTTTTTGAGACAGAGTTTCGCTCCTTACCCAGGCTGGAGAGCAATGGCGTTATCTCGGCTCACCACAACCTCCGCCTCCTGGGTTCAGGCAATTCTCCTGCCTCAGCCTCCTGAGTAGCTGGGATTATAGGCACGCACCACCATGCCTAGCTAATTTTTTGTATTTTTAGTAGAGACGGGGTTTCACCATGTTGACCAGGATGGTCTCGATATCTTGACCTCGTGATACACCCGCCTTGGCCTCCCAAAGTGCTGGGATTACAAGCTTGAGCCACCGCGCCCGGCGAAATTTTTCAAGAGAAAACAAACAACTGGCCAAGCATAAGAAAAAAAATTGAACATCGGGCCAGGCGCGGTGGCTTCCCAGCTACTCGGGAAGCTGAGGCAGGAGAATTGCTTGAACCCAGGAGGCGGAGGTTGCGGTGAGCCGAGATCGTGCCATTGAAGTGGTTTCTGGAGGGCTAAGATGTAAGCCAGCTGCTTCGCTGCTGCTAGCTTTGGAAACAAAGTTACTTTTCTCTCACTGCGCCCTTCCTCCTGATTTTAAAAGCGGTGGGCAGCCTAGTCTGCGCTACCTTACATCAGGTCTTTGTGTATGGGTGTGGCTGAAACCAGGTTTCTCAGCTTAATCATCAGGGCTAGTAAGAAATATTTGGCCCCTCCCATGAACCAAATCCAATTTTAAAAGATGAAAGCATATATTAACTTAGATACATCTTGTTTACCTTGATATCTTTTTTTTTTTTTTTTTTTGAGACGGAGTTTTGCTCTGGTTACCCAGGCTGGAGTGCGATGGTGCGATCTCAGCTCACCGCAACCTCAGCCTCCTGGGTTCAGGCAATTTTCCTGCCTCAGCCTCCCGAGTAGCTGGGATTACAGGCACGAGCCACCATGCCCAGCTAATTTTTTGTGTTTTTAGTTGAGACGGATTTTTACCATGTTGACCAGGATAGTCTCGATTTCTTGACCTCATGATCCACCCGCCTCAGCCTCCCAAAGTGCTGGGATTACAGGCGTGAGTCACCGCGCCCGGCCTTGTAAAGTGTCTTGTTACTGACTCTGTCCATTAAAATTCACTCAATCTGCCATACTTCTCCAGCCAATCAGCCTTTTAACATTGTTGCTATAAAAACCATCAGAGGAAATAAGTACAGAGAAAAGCAACAGATAAGCACAAATCAGGGGGTTGGGGAGGAAGTCAAGGGCTTGTTTTTCTATCCCCAGTTAGAATCAGCACATGTAAGAACACTTGTGGAGAGAAACTCCAGATTGCAGCCATTCATTAAAAACCTTTCATTTTGGCCGTGCGCGGTGGCTCAAGCCTGTAATCCCGCACTTTGGAAGGCTGAGGCGGGTGGATCACGAGGTCAAGAGACCGAGACCATCCTGGTCAACATGGTGAAACCCCGTCTCTACTAAAAATACAAAAAATTAGCTGGGCAGGGTGGCGCGTGCCTGTAATCCCAGCTACTCAGGAGGCTGAGGCAGGAGAATTGCCTGAACCCAGGAGGTGGAGGTTGCGGTGAGCCGAGATCGTGCCATTGCACTCCAGCCTGGGTAACAAGAGCGAAACTCTGTCTAAAAAAAAAAAAAAATTGAACATCAGTCATCAAAGCGGGAGAGCGAGGAGGTGTTCGCAGGAACCTGAGGAGGGACACGGAGGGACCTGAGGAAGGGCCAGGAGGACCGCGGAGGCAGCCGTCTTGGGGAAAGGCAGAGGGGCCCGCGGCTCACGGAGGGACTCCACAGAGGGGGCGGCACATTTCAGGGGCCCCAGCTTGCACTGCGGAAGGCTGCGGACATCTTCAATAGCGGCTTGTCTGGGTCTTTCGTAAGGCAATACGTAGGAAAAAATGTTTCTTCGTCTTGAAAATGCAGATAAATGCTCTTAGGGAGTAACTGGACCCGGCATCCTATGCCCAGACGCAGCTGGGCAGGGCTTGACAAACTTAAACTGAGGGATGTGGCGCAGTCACATCTCTAAGAACAGTGTCCACAGTGAGACCTCCTGTCTGGAGGGTCTCCACGGCCCTGCGGGACCCTCCCCTGATGGCCCTGCGGCAGAGGAAGCTCTGGTTCCCTGGAGGGAAGGCCTAGCAAGTCACGGCGGGCAGGATGATGTGGGTATGGTATGTGGGTTTGCGGTAGGTGCCCAGGTGCACTAAAAAGGGTCCCCGCCTCCCCCACAGCATAGCATTTAGTTCAGGCCCTGAACTAGTTTTTCTTTTTTTTTTTTTTTGAGACGGAGTTTCGCTCTTGTTACACAGGCTGGAGTACAATGGCGAGATCTCGGCTCACTGCAACCTCCGCCTCCTGGGTTCAAGCAATTCTCCTGCCTCAGCCTCCCGAGTAGCTGAGACTACAGGTGCGCACCACCATGCCCAGCTAATTTTTGTATTTTTAGTAGAGATGGGGTTTCACCATGTTGACCAGGATGGTCTCTCTCTCTCTTGACCTTGTGATCCACCCGCCTCGGCCTCCCAAAGTGTAGTTTTTCAGTTTCTGGGGTGGGGATTTCCTTTGGCTAAGAGGTGGGTCCATTCAGTCGGCTTGAAGGCTTGGTGTTTTTTTTTTTTTTTTTTGGTCAAGGTATGCCAGAAGCAATATTGATGGCCAAGCTTTTACTTTGTTCCCACATCCAGGCTGTGGCTGCCTGCCCCAGGTCCATAATGTCTTTTGGTGGGACCCCTATGGCCCAGGGACTTAGAATCAAAAGACTGAAAGCCAATTAAATGGTCCCGGCTAGATGGGAATGAAAGTGGGCAGGCACTCATTAACTTTAAAACTCCTTTTAAGCAATGTAAGAGCCAAAGACCAAAAGTCAAAAGGCAAGGTTACAAAATTGACTTACCTACAAATCTATACATTAAGCTACTGTGAGCTTGGTTTGTAGGACTCAGCTGTACAAAACAAGCATGCTGTTCAGCTATTGAGCCATCTGTGTACTTCTCCTGGATTTGGAGGCTCTGAATTAATTTGATTCCTCAAGACCAGCCCTTGCAATCTCACATGCCCATTTCTTCCACAATAGTCCTTAGGCCTGAAGGGTTTGAATAAATTCTGGAAGTAAAGGCCAGGCACAGTGGCTCACGCCTGTAATCCTAGCACTTCATGGGAGGCTGAGATGGGCAGATTACGAGGTCAAGAGATAGAGATTATCCTGGCTAACACAGTGAAACCCCATCTCTACTAAAAACACAAAAAATTAGCCAGGCATGATGGCATGTGCTGTAGGCCTAGATACTCAAGAGGCAGAGGCAGGAGAATTGCTTGAACATGGGAGGTTCAAAAATAAAAATGATCAATAAACACATAAAAAATTTACCTCACTTATAACGATAGAAATTAAAAGAAAAGAGGTGTCATATTTTCCCCCACCAATCAAATAATGAAGTGGGAAAGACAATACTATCTGGTGTTTGTCAGGATAAATTAAAATAACCCTCTTATCACTGATTGTAAATCTCAGGTTGTTTTGTTTTTCAAAAAGTTAGGAGCCATCAAAAGGATATGAAGGGAATATTACAAACAACTCTACACACATAAATTTGACAACTCAGATGAAATGGACCAACTTCTCAAAAAGCACAGTACTCTAACTCACCCAGTATCAAATAGATAATGTGAAAGGCTAGTTTCAGGGCTCAACCATTAAACAACAGAATTCAAATAAGAAGTCTCCAGGCCCAGATGTTTCACGAGAAAATTATACTAAATGTTCGAAGTTTATTCAATCTCTTCCAGAAAAAAAGAAGAGAAAGGAACCCTTTCCAGTTCATTTTATAAAGCCAGCATTACCCTGATGCAAAAACCAGACAGTGATAGTAAAACTGACCCAATAATATCATAGATGGTTCTTTTGGAGAAACACAGAAAACGACCTTTTTGTTCTTAAAGCTTGAAGCTTACATTTGTTTTATCTGAGTTCTTTTCTCAGAAAAGGACATTCAGACCTCACAAAAAGAGTATAGAGAACTGAAGCTCACCAGATCACCCCATCCTGACAATGAGAAACCTGAAGCCCTCACTCCTCATGACTCTTCCTTGCCACTTTCTAGTTCCTATATTCTTACACATTGTCACATTTCTTCTCTGTTATATAAACCCCTAGTTTTAGTCTGTCGGGGAGATGGATTTGAAACTGAGCTCCCATCCTCTTGGCTGCAGCACCTGATTAAAGCCTTCTTCCTTTGCAATACTTGCTGTCTCAGTGACTACCTTTTTGTCTCATAAGCAGCAAGACCTAGACCAAACCCCTGGTGTTTGGGTAACAATGGTTAAAAAAATCAGTAAATGCAAAATCCCTAAGCAAAATATTGGCAACTAGAATTCAACAACGCATAAAACAAATTATACACCGTGACTGAGTGGAGTTTAGTCTGGTAATGGAAGGCTGGTCCAGTATTCAAAATCAGTCAGTGTAATTCACCATATCGACAGGCTAAAGAAGAAAAATCATATAATTACATCAACTGATGGAGAAAAATCACTTGAACAAATTCAAAAATCACTCATGACTTGAAAAAGAAAATCGCTGAGGTGGGAGGACCACTTGAGGCCAGAAATTTGAGACCGGCCTGGGCAACATAATGTGACACCATCTCAAAAAAAAAAAAAAAAACAAATTAGTCAGAGAGATGGATGGTGGTACATGCCTGTGGTCCCAGCTACTTGGGAGGCTGAGATGGGAGGATAGCTTGAGCCTAGGAGTTGGAGGGTGTAGTGAGCCGTGTTCCCAACACTGCATTCCAGGCTGAGCAACAGAGTAAAACCCTGTCTCTGAAAAAAAAAAACAGTCTTAGCAAACAAGAAATAGAGGAGGAGCTCCCCTCAACTCTATCAGGTACATCTACAAAAATCTATAGCTAGCATTATATTTAATGGTGAAAAAGTGAATGCTTATCCTCTAAGAACAGGAGCAAGGCAAGGATATCCTCCCTCACACTTTTACTCAGCATACTTAGTCCTGGAAGTTGTAGTCAGCACAATAAAGCAAGAAAAATAACGAAAAGGAAACAGATTGGAAAGCAGTAACATTGTCCTTCTTTGCAGATGGGGTGATAATCTATGTAGAAAATCCCAACGAAGTCACAAACAAAAACCCAAAACACTCCCTAGAACGAGTGAGTTCAGCAAGGTCACAGGATACAAGACCAAAATACAAAACCAACTGGATTTCTATATATTAGCAATAAACTCGTTCATAATAATAATTAAATTTTAAAATATGTACTATTAACAATCAGTTAAAAAAAAAATTGGAGGGCCAAGCAAGGTGACTCATGCCTGTAATCCCAGCACTTTGGGAGGCTGAGGCAGGTGGATCACCTGAGATCAGGGGTTTGAGACCAGCCTGACCAACATGGAGAAACTTTATCTCTACTGAACATACAAAATTAGCCAGATGTGGTGGCACATGCCTGTAGTCCCAGCTACTTGAGAGGCTGAGGCAGGAGAATTCCTTGAACCCAGGGGACAGAGGTTGCAGTGAGTAGAGATCGTGCCATTCCACTTCAGCCTGAGTGACAAAGCGCGACTCCATCTCAAAAAAAAAAAAAATTGAATAGTATAACTCTAAAAATCAAGTGTAGGATTCTTATGCTGAAAACCACTACAGGTATGCATGTATATATTTATGTGTGTGTGTGTAAACTTACATATATATGAATCTGTGTGTGCGTATGTGTTAATTAAATGTAACTATCATGGCCCAGATTGTGTTACGAATAAGACGGAGTGGGTATCTCCCTCAGGTTGCTTACAGTATAGCTGGGAAGTCAGACACTAAACCCATGAATGAAAATGTGTTGGGGACTTCAAAGAAGCCGCTGATGCTCATTGCATCAAGCACCTGGAAGACCAAACCATGAGGTCAGAGCATGGAGGGTGAGACCATTCCGGTTTACAAGGCTTCTAACTCTACATCACCAGAATGTCCTCTAATTCTACCTTTCTGGAGGAGATAGACTGATTGGGTCACTCTGGGTCAGGACTCTATCTCCTACACCATCAAGAGAGAGAGTGTGTGTGTGTGTGTGTGTGTGTGTGTGTGTGTGTGTGGTGGGTGGTGGCATGACTCAATATAAACATAGCAGCCAAGAGTCCTAATTTTGAATAAGGAGGCGAGGAAGAACCATTTGCACTGGCTGGATGCACCAAGGGCTACAGTAAAAACTAGGAAGAACACCAAGATTTAAAGAACCAGAGGAAGAGGAGCTGTGGGGAAGAGAAGCAAATGAGGAGCATCCACAGAGTCAGAGAGAAAGCCAGAGTCAGGGCTTCCTGCTGCTGAGTGAGTTGTGCAGCTGCTCCAGCTGCAGATTGCTAATTTCAGATTGTTTTGTTCTCAGAGTTCTCCCTCTGAGCCACGGAGGTGACAGTCCTACATACTTCAGAGGATGTTGAGTGTGCAGAATAAGACGCTGCACCCTCAGCTCAGTGATACGTGAGGTGTGACTATACTGACTTAGGAGTGCGGCTTATGACGAAGAAGGGCTGTGATTTTATCTGGGAGTGCTTTTCTTGGCAGGCTGCAGACACATGCGTTTGGAAAATATGAAGGAAGAAGTCCCAAAATGGCCTTTGCCATGACTCAGCTAGAATTGTCAGTAACATAGCAACTCATTTCCTCTGGATAGATTTGTGGCAGCTTAAAATTCTAAGAACTGCACTTCCTTCAGTTGTTCAAGGATATCTGAATCCCAGGCCTCTGACTAAGGGTTCTCTCCTAAGAAAATAACATACGATGTTTCTCTCCTCTCTTCCACAGACCTCAGAGGATAAGCCTTCTGAAAGGGACACCCTGCAGCCTGGCCACAACAATGTGGCCACAGATTATGCCCTAGAGGGTGGCACAACGCTGGTGGCGCTCTCCACAGGGCAAGGGGTGGACCTCTTCATGCCTGACCCGGTATGTACAGAATATGGCAGCATCTGGGCTTGGGGACTTGATGGGCCTCTGTGCTTCAGTGCGAGTCCCCTGGGGTGATTTCCTGGTCATTCCTAATACTTGTTTTGGGGGTCAGAGAGCCTGGAAGCCTGGTTTTGGGAGCTAGCACCATCATCAGAAGCCATGAAGGGCCTCTTTTCTAGTGAGGGCACCGGGGGTAGGAGTGTCCTGCAGAGCAGGTTGCATCAACTCAGGCCGTGTCCTCGAGTTCATTTTTCAAAAATGCACTCAATCCCTTTGGCTTATGAGAACTCCATGATTTAAGAATCGCCACACTGCGAGTTTCCAGACAGAGGCATGAATTCTTTAGAGCAGCCCCATCCAGTAGAATGCTCTGTGAATTTTGCTTTTAAAGTGGATGCCTTGTCTATCACTTGTGAAATGCTTTGCCAAGTATACTGAGGTCTTGTGAAAACTCAGATAATGTTGACCAATGACCACTTCAAAACCTCTTGTGTTCACTTAGATGAAAGGTCAGTATTTAAATTTAATTTAGATGTACAGATGTTACTGGGCAGGTGCTGTGTCCCAAAGCACCATTTCAGGCAGTGGAGATACAGGGTTGACACATGGCAGCCTTTGTGGAGTTCACATGTCAGTTTATATATGTGGAGAGAGGGGGATTGCAAGTTTCAAAATGGAACAGTTAACTAACAAAACAGCATTTACAGTATGGAAATCGAGAAACTTTTCAAATAGAATCTTTTCACCTATAAACCCATTAGACCAAGGCCCATTGCTGTGCCAATTTCCCAATGCCACAGTTTCCCTTTATTTTCAAAGAAGCCAGAAAACCCTGAGAAATCTATGGCTTACACATATTACTCTCGGGCAATTATAGAATAACAGCTAACACATAATTCTTAATGAGTTGAAGGAATGTAGGTACCTGTCCTAGGGAATTCACATCTATTAATGCATTTAAACATGACAGCAGCCCTGTGAGGTAGGTCCTACCATTATTTATATTTTCAGATGGGGAAAGGGAGGCACAGAGAGGTAAGTTGCCTAAGGTCAAGCTAGTGACGGGTGGTGTCAGGTGTCACACTCTGGCACTCTGTGCTTTAACTAGTATACCAGACCCAATTTCAAAAACAAATGCTCTTGAGTACAAGTAAAATATTTCCAAGAACATTCTGAGCAGTTCTAAAGGCAATGGGAGGTGCTTTGACTCTGGGAACTAACTCGAGGATTCCCAGGCACAGACAGAGCCTGCTTTCTACCCTGAAACATGACAGCAGGGCCCAGTCCAGACATAGGTGGGCACCAGAGCTTGTCACCATGACAAAAGGAAGAAGTGAACCATAGCATAATCTTTCCTGATCTCCGTGTATTATCCTGAAATCCCTTTGGATCAAGTCACCCTAGTATAAAGAACATTTGAGCGAAGACTCTGCACAAAGCTTAGTGTCTGTTTGGGATGTTGACGTCCAGCGGACGTAGCTGGTGGCAGTTGTCACAGATAGGAATGCCATGGAGGGCAGCCAGCAGTGATGGAGGCAGCATTCTTTAGTGGCTCAAACCCAGCCTGTGAGATCTGTGGGTTTGCAGAGCTGGTGATTTGATTTTGTCAGAACACACATATTGTTCTGCACAGAGTAACCACCTCCTGTTAACCAACTCCCCCTTGTGGGATAAAGCTCAATGTCAAGGCATTCGTTGACAAACAGGAGCCCTTGTTTCTCAGTGACAAGGAGTTGGTGCCTGATCATCAGGGACCCTCTTATCAGAGTGCATGAGAGCCCATATTAAAAATCAGCGGTTGCTGGTGACCACACAATCAGAATAAAAGGACGTATTTTCCAGGTTAATAAAATGATGGAAATAACATTCCAGGGGCCTGAGAGTCCCTGCCCCAGCCCCGGGAGTGGATCAATCCAAGGCATTTTCACCCACCCTGATGCAGAATGAGCTCCTCCGTTCAGGTGGAGAGTGAGTACCACTGTTTGGATGACAGCTGTGCATCTGCACGCTTTCTACTGAAAAGCAAGAACAAATCGAACCTGGCTCAATTAAGTGAAAGGAGTTACTGCATTGATGGTGATACGAGAAGAGGGGCAGGGAAATGCTGGGAGGGTCTCTGGTGAGGGCTCCACCCCTGGGCCTATGTCCACGGACCTAGGTGAGGACAGGCATTTCTGTTTCAGTGCCCAAATGTTGTATTTCCCAAGACCACCTTGACCTGCCACACCCCCATCCTGTGCCTATAAAATCACTGAGACCCCGGTAGCCACACACACAAGCAGCTGGATGTCAAGAGGAACATATTGATGGAAGAACACACCAGCATTGAACAGCGGATGGTGGAAGATAAGGCAGGGGCTCTAATGCAGGCTGCCTGTGGACCCACGGATAAAGTGGAAGAGCACACTGTAACATCCACCCACTGGGGCTTCAGCTGTAAACATTCACAGCTAGATGCTGCCGTTGGGTAGGAGCCCCACAGACTGCCTGACTGCATGCCTCCCCCTAGAGGTTTGAGCCACAGTGCAAGGACACAGCGAGTCATACCCCATCACATGCCCTGCGACGAGGATAAGGGAACTTCTCCCGTTTCAGTGAGAAAGTTGAGGCCTTGGCTAGGACCGGGCAGGGTTAGAGGACCAGGAAGCAGGAAGCACGTCACTGGTGTTGCAACACGGCCAGTCTGTCCTGGACACCAAACCCGGTGCTGTGCCTCTCACTCAGGTTTCAAATCCCGGGGAGGGTGTCTACTTTTTAAGCTAAGGCACATGCCTGACCTTGGACTAGAAGAGGCCCAGATATGAATCCTTCTAGACTGGCATCCAACTCTTTAAGGGATGTCAAGGCACTTTTCAGAAGTGGAACTCAATGCTGGGCTGCTCCAAAGCAACACATGCCCACAGCGAGTTAAAGCTCATGAGACAAAGACAATCACATGCACATCTGTAAGAAAAAGAAGTTCAATTTATTGGGCAGGGGAATTGCACTGCAAAGGAACCATGGAATTGTCCTTGGCCAGTCTAAAGAGGGTTTGAGGAAGAGAGGACTGGTCTGGATTGGATATTGCCTGGAAGTGGGTGCAACTAATGATTGGTTATCTTAATAATTTTTATTTAGGAGCCAGGGAGATTAAAATGAAGTCGTTGGTAGAGAAGCAGTTGTCATTTTTGTTAGGAGAAGAGAGGAATGTATAGCTGTTGAGTCTCCTAGTCACTGTCTTATTTCAGACATGGACGGCATGACCTTTCCTCTCTGTATTGTGGGAATATCTCTGATGTTCCTTGGGAACCTCTGGGTTAGCTGCCAGCTGTGAGCTGTCATTCTTGAGTTTCTCACTTTCTCAAAATATTTGATGTCCATTAAAGTGAATCTGGTTTCCAGGCCCTGATTTCTCCCTAGTGACTTCGAGGGACATCAGCATTTAAGGTGGTATCTGCTGCGAGCTGATCACATTTTGTCACCAGAACTAGATAAAGGGGCGTCTGAGGGATGCCCTGCAGCTATGGGCTATGGTGGGCATAAGGGGACTGGAGAGAGGGACTGACCACAATTTTATCAATAAGTCTCAGGATTCCTTTAGATTTTACCAACTTTTTCCTTATGCCAGGTGAACACAATTTCCAATTGAAAGAACTTCCTCTTTTCCCCAGGTAAGAGTAGTTGGGATACCAGAAACTTGTAATGGTTTCTGAGACTGAATCATTAACATAAACAAAATACTGGACCGCAAATTAATGGCCAAAATGCATCCCTCACACATTAGTACAACTTCTCCTCTAACTGTTGATGGCCTAAGTCTTTCTGAAAACTTTAATCTGGGGGTGAGAACTTGGGAGATAAACACAGTTATGTTCCTTATAAATAAGGGGCTTCCCTGACAGTAGAAGTTACAATGAGAAAGAAGACCATGGGCCTCTTCCCTTTGAATTGTCCTCCCTCTTGCTATGTTACTGCTTGAGCTTCTTGTGTGGGCTTCATATTATCGCTGTCTTTCCACCACTCAGGAAGGGCAGGCTCCAGAGTGACCACGGCCAAGCCCCAGCTCTGCCAGCAGGCCCCATCTTCTCATGATTGTGTGGGCTTCTGTTTCCTGGCGTTTCTCTTCTTCCTGGCATCTTTCTTCATCTCGCTAGACTCTTGGTGAATTTTTACTGGTGGAAAAAGTTGTCAAGATTAATAAGAAAAGAAAGATTTACAGCCTGAATGAGGGCTATGCTAAGTATTTTGACAGGGCCACCACTGTGTATGTGCAGACAAAGAAATTCCCCGAGGTGAGTGAAGAAAGCCCAGCTGGGTAGCAGGGAGAATGCTGTCTCCATGAGGTCCTGTTTGGTGGTGGCTTCAGGGGGCCTTGCTGAATGAGCTTGGAGCCACCGTCCATAGCTCTGGCCAGTATAAGAACGGTAGACTCTGCCTTTTTTCATAAGTAATCAGTATCTTTTATCACTGCAATGCACCTTCTAAAGGTAATACTTACATTTACATTTAAGTTGTTCCAGGAGAAATTGTCTATAAAACAGTTAGGAATCATACTTGCAAAATTCAGAGCTCAGGCCAGAACCTTTGTGAAGTCACTTGTTTAAGCCCCAACCTCTAGATTCACTCACTCAGTTGCATTTGTTTTTCAAAGGAATAATTATACAAGAGGACTTCAAAGAGTTCATGAAACAAATAAAATTAAAAGATAAAAATATAAAATACAAATTTTTTTTTCTCAATATACCAGTCATTTAGTCCAACTCTAAAGGTCCTGGGAATTTAACCTGCAAAGGCAGTCTTTTTTATGTTATTTGCTCAAGAAAAATGGGTGCCCTTTAAAAGTTTCTTTTTAATATTAGGAAACAATAAGAATTCAGAAGGAGGCAAATCAGGGCTGTAGTTATTTTCCATTAAAACCTTTGCAAAATTCCCTTGTTTATTGAATTAAGGACAGGAATTAACAGAGCACTGCTGTGCTGGAGAACTCTCTGGTGACGCTTTCCCGGGCTTTGTCTGCTAAAACTGTAGCTAAATTTCTTAGAATAGTCTCTTAATAAGCTTATGTGGGCTAAGGAGCAACCATATTCCCAAGGTTGTGAAAATGAATGGCTGTGATTAGTTAAGGCCAAATTGTATCCTGTACCTTCAGAGGCCCTCGCTCTCCTCCCCCAAGTTATACCCATCTATAGTTATCCATCCACCCATCCATCCATCCATCCATCCACCCACTTATTCTTATATCCCTTCATCCTATCTATCTATCTATCTATCTATCTATACTTAACTGAGAGATTTCTCACATCTCTTCTTTCCAGAGCAAAGGTAAGTTGAAGAGTAGCAACACCTCTCTCTGTTATGTGGAGTTATTTTGGGCTAAAAATCTAGGAATTTAGGAATGTGAGTTCTATCTTTAGTTCCTGGTAATTCACTGTGTGTCTTCTGAAAGATTCTGTATTTAAATATTTTGGTTTCCTGACTTAATGTTTTCTCTTTATATAAACTTGTGTGCATTCATGTGTAACATGTGGAAGACACCAAAAGAAGAAAAAAGAAAGAAAATGTAAACAAACCCATGTGTAAGTTTCTTCACTCTCAGTAACCCCACTGTGAACATCAGGATGTGAGACCAGAGGGTGAGGAAAGTTGAAAGCATCCTGCCTGGACTATGATTGGAGGAACCGACAGTTTAAAGTCCAGCAATCCACCAGGAGACGAATGTATTCTTATTGGCCACTGGTCCAAAAAGAGTGAAACATATGTGAAGTCAACTTGAATCCAACCTGCAATCTGGAGCAGTCACCCAGGATTGCAACAATGTTAGCACCATCAGCCCCTAAAGTAGATGAACATTGACTGTGAGCAAGGAAGAATAGTGAAACCCCAGGAAGAGTGTGGCTGGGACATTCTTCAATGAGACGGGAAGCCAGAAAAATCTGAAAAGAGCAAGAGCCGTCAAACTGGAAGATCGAGGGAGTCAAGCAGAACATTTCCGAGCAGCCATGCCTGCTTGTCAAAAAGATGACAAACCAGTTACACCCTTTCCTCCTGCAGCACCAACTGATCCTAACAAGGCAGCCCAAACCCACTGGCTTATCAATTCTGATGACGGCGTTTGGGTGAGAATGGGATCCGACTCTCTTAATCTCCCAAGACCAGATATTGATTTACGTTTCTGACAGAAATAAATGGAATTTTCTTTTCTCGATGATTCAGTCTGGGTAACAAGAGCAAAACTCCGTCTCACAAAAAAAAAAAAAAAGAAAGAAATTACCAGAAGACTTGGTAATTTCTTGCCTGCAATGTAGTTTCAAGGGGTGCAATAGAGGACAGTATAATATAATGATATTCATTATAATTCTGAGTTGGAGCTGTTTCAAGATGATAATAATAGCTAACATTTACTGGGTGATTAATATGTAGTAAGCCCTGTTTTAAGTGCTTTACATGCATTAATTCCTTTTTTCTCATAACAACTCTTGGAGGCAGGTACAGAGGGGGAAGATGAGGCACAGAGGGGTTCAATTACTTATCCAAGGTAAGTGCCTGAGCCAGGATTCAAACCCAAACATTCTGGCTGCCAACCCATACCCTTAACCACAACGTGACCCTGCTTAGAAACACGCAAGTGGGGAAGAACCTTCATCTCCCAAATACTGGGGTGCATGGCTTAGGGCTGCCTAACCTGCTGGGAGACAGTGCCTCTTCTTTGCTGGCTGCGGAGGTTCTGCCTCCTTTGCCTTGGTTGCCTTCGTTCCTTTTCCCACTTTTTGAGCCGTGCGCCTGCTGGGTGTGGGCAGGGCAAAAGCCCAGGCAAAGAACACCCAATTCTGCATCTGGAAGGGAAGAGGAATATGTATCAGGCTGTTCCCAGGAATCTCGTGGCAGAGGGGACGGAGGGAGGAAATGAATAAGGAAACACTGCTACAGGGGTTTAGCATTTTGTTTTTTCATTTTTGTTTTTGACAATCGTTAGAGCATCAGGCTTGCCTAATTAGCAGTAATATTTCCTCACATTTTTCATGAATTCCACCTGGTGCAATGCCAGATGTGATCTATAAAATCAGAATTCCTAGAGATGACGGGTCTGGTGGTGATGAATTCCCTCCGTATTAGCTTTTCTGCAAAGGATCTTATTCTCCTTTACCAGTGTAGCTTAGTTTGGCTAGATATGAAAGTCTTGGTTGGGGTTTCTTTTCTTTAAGAATGTTAATCATACCCTATGACTCATGGGGGGAAAAAGCATGTTGAGCATAAGCCCCCAATCTCTTCTGGCTTGTAGGGTTTCTGCTGAGAGGTCCACTGTTAGTTTGATGGGCTTCCCTTTGTAGGTGACCTGACCCTTCTCTCTAGCTGGTTTTGACATTTTTTTCTTTCATTTCAAGCTTGGAGAACCTGATGATTATGTGTCTTGGGGATGATCTTCCTGTGAAGTATCTTACTAGGGTTCTCTGCATTTCCTGAATTTTCTGTTGGCTTCTCTAGCTGGGCTGGGGACATTCTCACGGGTGATATCCTGAAATATGTTTTCCAGATTGTTTCCATTCTCTCCATCTCTTTCAGGGACACCAGTGAGTCACAGATTTTGGTCTTTTTACATAATCCCATATTCCTCAGAGTTTTTTCATTCCTTTTTATTCTTTATTTTTATTTATTTATTTTTTGAGACGGAGTTTCGCTCTTGTTACCCAGGCTGGAGTGCAACGGCACGATCTCGGCTCACTGCAACCTCCGACTCCTGGGTTCAGGCAATTCTCCTGCCTCAGCCTCCTGAGTAGCTGGGATTACAGGCACGCGCCACCGTGCCCAGCTAATTTTTTTGTATTTTTAGTAAAGACGGGGTTTCACCATGTTGACCAGGATGGTCTCTATCTCTTGACCTCGTGATCCACCTGCCTCGGCCTCCCAAAGTGCTTGGATTATAGGCGTGAGCCACTGCGCCCAGCCCTGGGTCAGGATTCTTAAGGGAAAGGACCTCTCCAGCAGGGCTGAGCTGGGGACAACATGGCCCTTCCAGCAGGAACTCACTGGAGACACCTGGGCCTTGTCAGTCAAGTTATTTTCTCACAGGCTATTGGGGTAAACATTTCCCTCTAGGGGCCCAGGACTGTCCCTGACGGAACTAAGGTCTCCCCGGGCCTCCAGGGCCCTGGATGTGGGTATCCTGCGGAGAGGAGGGGGCTTTTCTTGTCCTCCTGCCCCTGGGTCACTACCTGCTCCTCCTCCTCTATCGCTCCTCTGGGCTTTCCTTGGATCCTCACCTTGGTCTGATTCGGGAGCCTGGCTGGGATCGGGATCCGCTTCCTAGCCCCGACCACCTCCTCCTGTGGTCGGAGGGTGAACGTGCTGCTGGGAGGAGGGATCCTCACAGAGCTGGGGTGTCTCAACACCAAGGAGTTGCGAGCCGACAACACGGTTCTCCTCCTTAAGAGGAGCCTGCAGTCCACAGCAGGCGGGACCGCCACGGGGGCGCCCATGTCTGGCGGTCTCCTGGGGGCGCCGAAGAAGCTGCCTGGAGAAGGCTTCCGACTCTGCTGACCGTTGAAGAGAAATCGGTAAGGGCCGGGGGTAAGCGTGGGCGCCACAGGGGGAGCCGGGCCAGGCTGGGACGCCTCCCGGGCTATGGGAGCGCGTGGGACACGGCCAGGCAGGGGCCTGCGGCGGGACCGGGGGCGAAATATACTTAATAAATTGCCCATTGAGAGCAAGCTACAATGGCGAGAAAACGGTCAGTAACGGAGACGGAGCTCGGTAGTCACCAACTTCTCTTCTGCCACGCGCGCACTAGGCAGCTGAGCGCTTGTGACGTCCCAGAGGGGCTGGTGAACGAGCCAGGGCTCCCGAAGCGCGCGGGAGCCCCCCCACCCCAGGGCACCTACCAGAGGGGTCAAAATGCTACAAAATAAGTAGCTTTTTTTTTTTTTTTCTTTGAGACCGAGTTTCACTTTTGTTACCCAGGCTGGAGTGCAATGGCGCGATCTCGGCTCACCGCAACCTCTGCCCCCTGGGTTCAGGCAATTCTCCTGCCTCAGCCTCCTGAGTAGCTGGGATTACAGGCACGTGCCACCATACCCAGCTAATTTTTTGTATCTTTAGTAGAGACAGGGTTTCACCATGTTGACCAGGATGGTCTTGATCTGTTGACCTCGTGATCACCTTGGCCTCCCAAAGTGCTGGGATTACAGGCTTGAGCCACCGCGCTCGGCCGATTTTTTTTATATATAGATAATGTAAGGGGGGAGTCCAGTTTCAATCTTCTGCATATGGCTAGCCACTTATCCCAACACAATTTATTGAATAAGGATTATTTTCCCCATTGCTTGTTTTTGTCAGCTGTGTTGAAGATCAGATGGTTTTAAATGTGCTGCTTTATTTCTGGGTTTTGTACTCTGCTACATCAGTCTATGTGTTTTTTTTCTGTACCAGTACCAAGTTGTTTTGATTACTTTAGCCTCATAGTATAGTTTGAAGTTGGGAAATGTGATTTCTTCCACCTTTTTTCTTTTTGCTTAGAATTGCCTTGGCCTTTGCCAAGACTCTTGCCAAAGAGCCTTGGGCTCTCTTTTGGTTCCTGCCAAAGAGCCTTGGGCTCTCTTTTGGTTCCATATGAATTTTAGAATAGTTTAGAATTTAGTTTAGAAAAGTTTTTTTCTAGTTCCCTGAAGAATGCCTTTGGAAGCTTAATAGAAATAGTATTTAATCTGTAATTGCCTTGGGTAGTATGGCCATTTTAACAATGTTGGTTCTTCCTATCCATTAGCATAGAATATTTTTATATTTGTGTCCTCTGATATTTTGCAGCAATGTTTCATAATTATTGTTGTAGATATTTTTCATGTACCTGGTTAGCTGCATTCCTAGATGATTTTTTGTGTGAGTACTGTAAATGTGATTGCATTCTTGATTTGTATTTCACTTTGGATGTTGTTGGTGTGTAGAAATGTTACAGATTTTTGGCCAGGCACTGTAACCCCAGCACTTTGGGAGGCCGAGGCGGGTGGATCACGAGGTCAAGAGACCAAGACCATCCTGGTCAACACGGTGAAACCGCGTCTCTACTAAAAATACAAAAAATTAGCTGGGCATGGTGGCGCGTGCCTGTAATCCCAGCTACTCAGGAGGCTGAACCCGGGGGCAGAGGTTGCGGTGAGCCGAGATCGCGCCATTGCACTCCAGCCTAGGTAACAAGAGCGAAACTCCGTCTCCAAGGAATTAAAGAAAGGAAACACTCTCAAACTCATATGAGGCCGAAATTACCTTGATTCCACAACCAAAGCCACAAGAAAAGAAAACTAAAGACCTTTGCAGCTTCTATTGGCAGCCCTACGCGTAAACAAAGCAAATCCAGGGAATCTCAGCAGTAGCAATTACACGGAGTAATTGACTAGCAATTACAGGGACTAATTGACTGCATTTCCTCGCTGACAGGAATCAATGCCTGTAACCCAAATAGCTCTTTCAAAGGCTCTGACCTCCCTGACCTCTTCTGCAAACTGGGCCTGGGTAAATACACAGATGTCTTCCAGCAACAAGGGATCGATCTTCAGACATTCCTCGCTCGCACAGATAAGGATCTGAAGGAGCTGGGAATAAGTACTTTTGGTGCCAGGAGGAAAACGCTGCTTGCAATTTCAGAACTAAATAAAAACCAAAGAAAGCTTTTTTTTTTTTTTTTTCTTGAGCCGGGGTTTCGCCCTTGCTTACTCAGGCTGGAGTGCAATGGCACGATCTCGGCTCACCGCAACCTCCGACTCCTGGGTTCAGGCAATTCTCCTGCCTCAGCCTCCTGAGTAGCTGGGATTACAGGCACGCGCCACCATGCCCAGCTAATTTTTAGTAGAGACGGAGTTTCACCATGTTGACCAGGATGGTCTCGATTTCTTGACCTCGTGATCCACCTGCCTCGGCCTCCCAAAATGCTGGGATTACGGGAGTGAGCCACCGCGCCCGGCCCAAGAATGAGATTTTTTTAAAGACCAACAAAGTTACAAACTTTTAACTGGACTACCTAAGAAAAAGAGAAAATAGAGGCCGGGCGCGGTGGTTCACACTTGTAATCCCAGCACTTTCGGAGGTCGAGGCGGGTGGATCACGAGGTCAAGAGATCGAGATTATCCTGGTCAACATGGTGAAACCCCGTCTCTACTAAAAATACAAAAAATTAGCTGGGCATGGTGGCACGTGCCTGTAGTCCCAGCTACTCAGGAGGCTGAGGCAGGAGAATTGCCTGAACCCAGGAGGCAGAGGTTGCGGTGAGCTGAGATCGCGCCATTGCACTCCAGCCTAGGTAACAAGAGTGAAACTCCGTCTCAAAAAAAAAAAAAAAAAAAAAAAAAAACTTTGTGTTGAATTAATAAATCTAGACAGTACAGAGTATGTTCTGAAGTTCCAGAACAAGCAAAACTAAGATACAGCAATAGACATCACATCAGTGGTTACCTGGGGTGAGGTAGGATGGGAGTTGACTGCAGAGGAACACAAGGGAAGTCTCTGGAGTGATGGAAACATTCTGTGTCTTGATTGACTGTGGTTACATTGGTGTGGACATTTGTCAAAACTCATTGACTTTCATATTTGGAATTTGTATATTTTGTATATAAATTATACTTCAATAAATATGTATGTATATATAATGTGGATAATACATTTTGATATATCATGATGTCTATCACTTCACAGCATATTATATTTATATCATACCATATTATAGTTACATAATGGCAAAAGATGAAAAGGATGCTGTATTTTGGGAAGATCACAGAAATTATCACTTATTTATTTTTTATACAAATATGTATAAATCTTTCACCAAACAAATGTCAAAAATGTGGTATTTTCACTGCTCTATAAATTATCATATGTTCTATCATGTAATAAATGTTAAAAACCTGGGTGTTCATTCGTTGTATGTGTTTACTTGTTCTATGTGTTTATATGCTCCCTGTTCTATAAATTCTCACACATTGTACACCATCCAATCAAGTGATGAGCTGCTCAGTAGATAAGTGCTGAACACTCTGCATCCCTCATCATGTCAAGCACTTCACGTCGTTTTCCTGTTGTCTTCCCCAGTAGACATTTGACATTTTCTTCCATCATTTTGGAGCATCCTGGAGAAACAGCTAGACACAGGGGACATATTGTTATACCTTGCTTATTGTGACTTGGAATTATACATATTGAAATACTGTAAAGATTTGCTTTATTTTTATCAGCACGCCTATGTGAAATTAGATTTCAACTCTACCTCACTTCCAACTTTCCGGAGGAATGCAGAGAGTTTATTAGAAAATAGAAGTGCAACCAAATGTGGGTGAAGGGGAGAAAGGAAGCAAAACACACTGCCATGTGTGTACCTATGCAACTGTCTTGCATGTTCTGCACATGTACCCCCAAACCTAAAATGCAACAAAAAATTAAAAAAAAAAAAAGAAAATAGAAGTGCAAAAATGTTTGCTGCTTGATTCTCAGACCATAGCCTGGGATTAGCAATTTTTTTAAAAAATGGCAGACAAAAGAAGCCCAAGTGTCTCCCAGCTCCTGGGATGCATGGAAGCAATGGGCTGTGATATCCTATTGAGGCAAAAGAAGTGGTGCTTCTTATAGTCCCATGATCAGAAGCAGTAAGAACTTGACGGTGCACCTAAAACTGAGATGCACCTTCTTAGGATGCACCTAAAACTGAGAACAAGGGAAAGCTAAGTAGAAGTATCACCAGGGAAGGACTATGGGACTTTACTCTGCTAAGAGAGAAAAGGATTTAATTAGGTCCAACAGAATATGATGCCATTTCAAAAATATTTTCTGTTAGGACAATTTCCAGAGACTCTTAAGTGGATGTTATTTTGTGTAATGATTTTTGAGCTTGGTGGAATTTTACCAGTCTGACCGGATCAGTTCTAGAAAACTCCTCTGATGGGTAAGCGATGAATGCTTTGTCTCTCCACATACTTCGCAGTTAGAAGGAGAATACTTCAGGCCAAAAGGACGCAGGAACTTAGTTATGTATGCCACAGTCAGATCAGTGATTTTAATTTCCCACCCTAAAGAAAAATGAGTATATATCATTCTAAAGAAATCTGACTTTCTAACATGTCTGTCTATTACCTAACCACATTCCTTCAATGATTCCATAGCAAGCAGTTAATGAAAAACAACAACGATAATAGCGCACCTATCAACCTTTACTACTTGTAATTTTCCATGGAATTTAGACAGATCTGTTGCAAAAAATTTCATCAATTCTTATGTTCTTTTCAAATACTTTTTGCACTATCAGATTATTCAACCTTTCTCTATTCCTACCTTTACCATCAGACCCTCACTAAATCCCATTAGCCAAACCCAAACTGATGAGTGATGGTAAGCATTTTTTTCATATGTTTATTGGGCTTATATGTCTTCTTTTGAGAAACATCTGTTCATGTCCTTTACCCACTTTTTAATGGGATTTTTTCTTATTGAGTTGTTTGAGTTCTTTATATTAAAAAAATGCTCAGTATCACGAATCATCAGAGAAATGCAAATCAAAACCAAAATGAGGTATCATATTATACCAGTCAAGATGGCTATTACTAAAAATTCATAAACGGCAGATGTTGGCAAGGATGCAGAGACAAGGGAACCTTTATACACTGTTGGTGGAAATGTAAATTAGTATAAGCTCTAGGAAAACAGTATGGAGATTTTTCTAACAACTAAAAATACAACTACCATTCGACCCAGCAGTTTGACTACTGGGCATCTACTCAAAGGAAAAATCATATTTAAAAAGATGCCCACACTTGCATGTTTATTGTGACACTATTCACAATAGCAAAGTC